CCTCCTTGGGAGGAAAAGCAGGTAAAACAGTGTCTGGGCTCTGCACCCCTCAAGTACCCAGCGATGCCCACATCTCCATGCCCTCTCCATGAGGGCCACGAGTTGAAGGGATCCCAGCACCTCAAGTCTGCAGGAGACCCTGCGGACTTCCTGCTCCTGTACATGATGTTGCAGCACCCTCGTGTGGCAGCAGGCCTGGCCAGGATGGCCAACTGCATGGGGAGACTGGGCAACCAGAACCACCCTCTTCCACGGTGCCAAAGCGTCCTTCCCCCATGATGACCCCGTCACACCTGCATGACATCAGCCCGTGGGTTCAGGAGGGTTTGGGGCAGAAAGGTAGATGCCAGGGTCTGATTCCTTGGGGAGCAGGCTGAGGAAGAGGCACAGGGTGCTCCTCTTTGCCTCTGCTCCCAGCAGCCTCCGAGAAGCAGACGGATGCAATGCTATCCCTTATTTCTGGCTATGCTGCGCATCTCCATGCAGTAATTCCTGCTTGGCTTTTAACACCCACTACAAAGTGAATCTTGCCTCCTCCCTCCTTCCCAAACTATCACAGAGCACTATACAGCCAGCGATAGCTACTATCGAGCTACTTCTTGTTGACCTCTCTTCTGACAGGTTGCTTCCTTTTGGTGTTTGAAGCGGCAATGAGTGAAATATTAATTGCAGGTTGGAGATGCTCATTACAATGTGTAGAGCTCAGGGTGACCGTCACATCCCCCAGGACAGGAGGGGCCCAGCTGCCAGCAGACAACATGCTCCTGTCATATGTGCGTCTGTTTCTGTAGCATCTAAAAGTAGATAGTGCCAGCAGGATTCGGAGGGTCCAGGGGCCTTCGCCTTGCCACCAGAGGGAGAAGGATTCAGCACAACAGTAGCGGGAAGGGACAATGCTTTAACCGCTAGATGTCTGTATAATTCATTCTGGAGGGGAAAAACCGGGCTGGCATCCTTGCAGTTCCCTGCTAGCTGGAAAATGTGAGCTCTGTTTTGTCTCGCTGCCGTGGCAGCCAATGTTGATGACAATACAAAATTGTTTTCGTTTAAAATATTGCAGGGGCAAGTTTCAGCTTTTCATCAGTCAAAAAGCCACGTGCAGATATCAGGCTGTGGGGTCAGAAACAAAGAAAGGGGGTGCCGAAAGTCCTTCCATCAGCTGAAATTTGCTGTTTGGGAGTCAGCTGGCTGAAAAGCAAATGTTGCAAGGAAGGAAACACAATTTGCAAACAATGTTCTTGCTACCCTCCCCCCCAACCCTAGCCAGAGCTATGGTGTGTGGTTGGAGACCAGCTCTCCTGCAGAAAGTTTGTGGTCAGTTCTGGTGGTGGATGAGTCCATGACAGACCACTTCACAGGAGGAGAAAATCCCCTTGTGCTGGAAAACTAAAGGAAGTAGCACAGTGCCTTTGAGCTCTTCCTTTGCAGCCTCCTCGCTGCAAATCCCTCCCCTGTGGAGTGCAGAGCCTCTTAGGTGAACTGCAGCTTGCTGCGCCTCTGTGTCTTCTGGTTTGCGGAGCGCTTAGTAGTCTATCGAGTCCTGGGAGCCTGCAGCCCATGGGCTGAAACCTACTGATCTAGCTGGAGCTGAAGTTGAAGCTTGGACAGTTCAGGCAGGAAATAAAGGACATATTTCCAGCAGTTCACAGTAATGAGTCATTGGAGCAATCTGCCCTGCGATCTGCAAACTCTTCAGTTCTAAGGGACTTTTAACTTGGGGCTGGATGTTCTCCAGAGAGATGCTCTGCATTGGCCACATGCTGAGGACGTGAGGCTGCTGCTTGGGTGACATCTTTTGCCCGGGGTTAGGCAAGAGGCTGGGCAAATGACCATAATGATCTTTATTCATTTACTAAATGAGTAAATAAGTGGTTACAAAGCATGAGCAACAAAAAGCAGTTGGCGACTGTTAAGCTGCTAGCCTATGGGGAGCGTGGATCATGGAGCAGTCCAGGATGGCTTTGGGGACTGCACCTTCCCTTCTGCACCCCGAGTTTCTGGTCCTGCTTTCACTTTGCAGAATGCTGGTCTGTGATGGGGACTCGCGGGTGACTATCAAAGACAGCAGCAGAAATGGGGCAGTAACAGGAGGCTTGGTGACTGCAAAGAGTCAGGAGCTGCTGAGAGGGAAGCAGCAGCAGCAGGGTTTTCCTTCTCACCTAGGAGACCAGGTCGGTAAAGCACGTGTTAGGTACCCTCAGCCCCACGTCATTACTCCAGGCGCTGTCCCGACATCTTTCTTCCCTTTGGTCTTGGAGTTGCCCACTGCCCACCTGGCACTGGAAGGCCACAATGAGCTTTGCAGCTGCAGTGTGGAGATTCGTGTGTCACTGTAAGGGTCCTTCCTCACCTCTGCAGTCCCACAGGGTCCACATGCCATGAGGGCCATGAGCAAGCGGAGATACAGAGGCTGCTGCTGGGAGGCATCGGACCCCGTGAGCTCTCCAGGAGCAGAGCTCTTCTGGGAGCGTGGGGGAGGAGCTACAGTTGTCCCAGGTCTCTAGGGGGAATTTAGGATGGATTGAGGAGGAGGAGAGTGACACAGGAGTCTTATAAGCAATACGCCGGAGGCTGGGTTGAGGGGGGACTGCTGGCCACACTGCCATGCAGCTGCGCAGTAGCAGCTATGCTGGTGCCTGTGGGACAAAGCGGTACCAGGGGCAGAAAGAGTTCCTCACACAAAGAGTTGGGAAGTGTTGGAGGTGAGCTGGAGATGAGAAAATGCTTTTTTTTTTTTTTTTTAAGCTACTTTTGGGATCAGCACTAGGCTGGGCTGCTCTGGAACATTATCACATAGGGATGCACTGGCTCAGGACCAAGCCTCCCACCAGCAGTGAGGAGCAGTGGAAAACTAAGGAAGGTGCAAGAAACGAGGCAAATAGAGGGTGTCCTTTCGCCGCAGGAACCCTCCCTGCTTCTGGAAATCAGCAGGACAGCAATTTTCTGCACATGCAGTTGAATCGCTGCCATTTTTCACTGACACAGAGATCCACCCACCATTAACTTTCTAACCCTCTTTGAATCCACTTTATAATCTTTGATCTCCACAACGTGCTGGGGCAATGGATTTCAGCCTTTAGTCGTGCTGTGAATGTCTACAGCAATTGCAGGGACACCTTCTGCCTAGTTTTCTCATCCTTTCCTCATAATTCCTGCCGCTCGATCTGCTGTTTGACAGCTGCTGAGCTCTGCAATGGCCCAACGGTCCCGTTCCCCTGCGAGGAAACGGCAGCGAGGGTCAGGTGGTTTTTCCCCAGTGCACTTCACACCTTTCGGCATTGCATTTCCTCTGCTTTAGAGCTCAAGCACCGTGAGGTCCTGGAGCTCTTTGCAGGCAGCATTGGCTTTGGCTGCCCTGAACTGTTTGGTGTTGTCTTCACCTGGCCACCGCTTTCCTTCTGCGTTGGCCGAATGCCCTGTGCCCACTCTGCGCTGTGGGTCTTGGCTCCCTGGGAAGCCCTCACCGATCTAGAAGCTGATCGGTTATTCTTATCCTTTGTTTCTTGCCTTTTAACTAGTTATTCGTGCAGAATCTGACTTTCCTCCCTGTTTCCGGATAGCTTAGTTTCTGGAGAGACCTGGAAGGGCACCTCCAAGGTGCCCAAGTATTACTTTGGTCCCCCCTTACGTACTGAGCCCAGAAGCCCGGTGTCCGTCCGACTGCCTGGATGCGGCCGCAGTGACGGTGCGGGAGGCGCAGCTCCTCGTTTCTCAGGTGCCTCCAGTTCCCGCAGCAGGCTCAGGCCTCCGCGCTGTGCGTTTACAGCTCCCCAGGCCGTGCTATAATTTTCTAGTGGTCTCTGCCGTGAGTGCTTGTTCCAGGTGTAACAGCCAGCCGCCCCGATGTCTGTGAAGCCTCAGTCAGTGGTTAGAGATTTCCATCCCCGTTTACAATGCTGGGCTTGACCTGCTAACGGAGCAGTAAAGGGCTCTGCAGCCTGCTCCTGGCCCCGTCCCATCTCGACCTGTTGCGTTGCTGCTGGGACTTCCCTGTATAAACTGGCCCCACAGCCTAAACCCCTCTGCTCCCAGAGAGCCAGAGGGTGCTTAAATCCGGGTCTCATCTTGGTGACTAGATGTTGGGGCTAAAGCTGTCCGGACAGGGTCATGCACCAGGCAGGGGGATGCTGCCCCCCAGGCGCCGGTCCCCGAGGCGGCCTGCGAAGCTGGGCACGTAGCTGCCCCAGCACGAGCGCCCGCCCCGGCACCTGGCCACGGGGAGCTCCCTGGCCGAGTAACGGGAGAGGCTGGGAATCGCGGCGGGCGGAGGACGGGGGGCTTTCCCCCGCGCCGAGCTCCGGCCGTCCCTTCCGACGGGGGGATTTCAAAGGGGCGAAGCAAACTGAGCCCTCTTCCCTAACACCCCCTTCCACTCATCACCCCGTGACGAAATCGTAGGGATCTGGCAAGGCCCTGCAATTAACTGTTACGCGCGAGCCTTCGTTAGGCAGTTTTCTGCGCCCCTTGAGGCAAGTTTCCGTCCGCTCTGAGCGTCAGCTCCAGCTCTTCCAGCCTGAAGAATGCCTGTAAATTCGTCTGCGGCAACGCGGTCCCTCCGCCCCGGCCCCGCT